GAAACCCCATGCAGCGCATCGGATGAGCACGAACTTGACCAGGTCCATGGGTTTCCTCTTCTCCATCTTTACCTCAGGCGGCTCATGCATGCCACGGGTAACACCTGTGGGTACAAGTGAAATTAAGAACATGGGGTACATCTGATGGGGTCGATCATTCAGGTAAAATCTCAAATCATATAACAATAATAAATAGTCAATAAATTGATTTTAGGTTAATAACCGACCTAAGTAGTAGTGATTGATTATCATTGATCAATGGCTTAATGGATGGTGACCTGGCGTGTAACCAACTTGGACGGATGATCATTGCCTACCAAGCGGAGATCTATGGCGGCAAAAACCCTCGTGTGATAATGTGTGCAAATGTGAAGTGCCACTGGGCTACGGCTAGGCACAAAGACACAATGGTTGCAAAGGCTATGGTGCCAGTACGGAGACCACACAACTGCTGAGCAACCAGTGGTTAATCTGGGATGTTTCCAAAACCATTCCGAAAAAGGCCACGAATTTCAGGGAGTGGCACAATTTGACGGCAACAAGATACAAGTTCTTGGCACTCTGAGGGGCTACGGCTATGCCATCATTCTGTGGCACTTTGAAGACTTAATGATCAACGGTGTCCAGCAGCTTAATAAGACAATAATTTCATGATGATCATGCCCAATGATCATCATAAAAGGTTAAACGGGATTTCATCCATGATAACTTTTTCTTGACTTGGCAATGAACAATTGAAAACTACAATAGCCGAATCATGAATAACTATGATGTTGGTACTTGGTAAAGCGATGACAATTCATGGACGTCAAATAATCATAAAATCATAAAATCATCATCAATGATTGACGCATTATTATATTAACATTAACAGGTCATCATCACCATTATGAAAAAACATCTTGTGTTTGATCAACATTTGATTTGGTAAAGCTTGGTATCATGATTGATTGTATCATAACCACTTGTTGATCTAAAAAATATCGATTGCATGGTAACTGATACAATCATGTTTGATAATTACTTATAACCGACGATGACATGTTTTTTAGTGAGATGAATCCATAAATCTCTATGGACATCTAACTTAGATAACATTGTAATTCAAAACCCGTACAATACTATTATGAATAGTCTTTGGATAATCAAATCATAATCATTTATTTTTGGTCGATGGTAAGAGTTGATGGTGCTTGTTGCCAAAAACAAACCCAAAGGGAGGTGATTGGTGCGACCATGAAAATGTTGATAGCTGTTAAGAATGATGGTAATGGTGATGATGTGATGATGTTATGATGATGATAATGGTGATGATGATGATGATGATGATGCTGATGATGATGATGATGCTGATGATGGTGAACTGCTGGTGATGATGAGGATGATGTTGCTGACAATGGTGGTGATGATGATGATGATGGTGGTGTTGATGGTGATGATGATGATGATGAGGATGATGATGATGATGATGGTGGCATTGATGGTGATGATGATGATGATGATGATGATGATGATGATGATGGTGACGTTGATGGTGATGGTGATGATGATGATGGTGGTGGCGTTGATGGTGATGATGATGATGATGATGATGGTGATGGTGGCGTTGATGGTGTTGTTGATGATGATGATGATGGTGGTGATGATCATGGTTATGATGACCGTGATGATGACGGTGATGATACTGGTGGTGGTGATCTTGATGATGATGATGATGATGATATGATCATAATGATAATGATGATGCCTGTGATTGTTGAAGTTCAGGCTAGCCACGGCTTGCACCCAGGACTCCAACTGCCCAAGCTTCTTTGCACCTTGAAGACCTTCGGCAACAGGCCGCACCCGGCCGAGTTGCATCATGAGCTCATCCTGGGATGCAGCTTCGACCCCTTCTTGTACTGGATTCTATCAATGACAGCGGATTGATCACTGTACTGTACTTTAATCCACGTCAATACCATGAATAACAATAATATTCTGTTGTAATCACCAAAATATTTCCAATTTCATGGTTTACTAAATAATATGTTAATTCATTATCGAGAAACCGGGTTGATTTTGAAGAATGCAGCAACACGCTTTGCCACATCATCACCAGATTTGTTTGCGGACATGGTGGTGAAAAAGGTGCCAAGTGTTGAAAGGATCTCCCATTGTGGAACTTCCGCCTTGATGGCAGCTTTGATCAGAAGCACATAGTTGTGTAGCCTGGGTTATTTCCAAAGCAGGATCAACACAACCCCAAGTGGAAATAATCAATACATCAACCGTTCAATCAATGATAATTTTCCAAATTGATTATCATCATCAGTATTATTATTATTGATGAAACTAAATTAACTTGAAACTATTAACTTGGGTCAAACACAATGGATAGGCAAGGAACCGTGCAGTAACCCTGTCGACCATTCCCTGTGGAATCTTTCCCGGACCTCCAAGGGTTTTGACGACCACAGTACCCCCAGGTCGCATCATTCTGATCACCAGAGCACGTTCGCTCAATCTTCTCCTTAGAAAGTAGTGGGTTGTTCTTATTATGTTGGACAGATCAACTATGTATGACGTCTCTATTCAAGAATTGTGGCACAATCACGTAACATGTTCAGAAACATCAATCACGCATTGTCCACTTGAATGGGTTGGTTGGCAATGTGTTGACATGTTATTATATTATTATTACGTATGCCAAGTCTCTTCATAAGCGCAGAATAGGTGCCATGAACATGCCAGCAACGACCATTGGAGAACAGGAAAGTGATGGAATCAACGAACCTGAGTGGTCGGTTTTTTATTTCAAGGGGATGAAGGTTTCCGGCGCATACATGCCCAAATCTAAAATAAAATAAGACTCAGACCATAACCCAATTCCGACCATGGGGCTGGTTCATCACACCCTTCAAAGCCAGGGGATCGAAGTCCTCCTGATCGCAGAATCTGACGGCGCTCATGTGCTCATCGAAGCTGTCGCTGAGGCACGCCAAAGCCCTGGGAGACGTGGGATTTCATTGATTTGGATCAACGTCAAAATAAGTAACCATGATAATATTGATAACCACATGACTTAAACATGTTGATCATGGGTTCATGCTGGGTGTCTTCAAGACAATTGTCAATGTCAAATTAAACTGATTTCCGAATGGCTGAGCCGTTGTCCAAAATCACATTGGTGGCACAGTGGCATGACGGTTATTCAATGACACATCACATGGTACCATGGTGGTGTGAAATCGCAAACGAGGTACAAACAGTGCTCAAGGGTAAGCTTCTCGAGGAACTGCTGCATGCAGCGTCCCTCCACCTCAGAAACTAAATTGAAAACCGGATAAAGGGTTATTAAACCAGCGCAGTACAAATGCACATACAGTTAAATCATGCACATACATATGCATAATGACAATGATGCAGAGATACCGGGGCATGGCTAATTGAATCAAGGGGCACGGTTTCGCCTTTCAAGGGCTATGCCTTCCTGGTTTGTCAGAACGGCCATGCTGAGATTGAAAAAAGGTTGATGTCATTGACATTGATTTGAAAACTCAATCAATGTCAAGTGCTGCCCAAGGGTCGGCCGTGCGGATAAGCGCTTCGAAATGCAGGGTCATCCTCCCCACTGGAGTCCGGAGTGATTCAAACCTGAATCGTTGTTAAATTGTCATCCATTCATCATCCATATTCGCTGTCAAAACTGGAAGTATTGAATCTCAAAACAAAACTGGAAAAATTGGAATTAGGGTGGTCAAACTTGTTTTAGGCTGAGTAGAATCTCAAAACAAAACTGGAAAATTTGGAATTTGGGTGGTCAAACTTGTTTTAAGGTGAGTAGAATCTCAAAACAAAACTGGAAAATTTGGAATTTGGGTGGTCAAACTTGTTTTAAGCTGAGTAGAATCTCAAAACAAAACTGGAAAATTTGGAATTTGGGTGGTCAATCTTGTTTTAAGCTGAGTAGCCGATGTTTGGCCGCAGACAGTGTGGTACACCGCCATCCGCTGTTCTTCTCCACCTCTTCAGCAAAGCGCGCCTGGCAAGCGGAGCTTTATTTTATTGCTTGATCTCTCACTCTCTCTCTCCACTACCATCTGGTCTACTTGATTCCATTTAGAAGATTTAATACATGAATCTATGCGATTCTGATGATGATTGAATCTGCAATCGTGCAGGGGCATGGGACTGAATGTCACACTTTTTTCCTTCACCGGCGCCGATTGGGTCCAATGTCCCCGGTCTTCTCCTATCCAGCTATGACAATGTCAAGTCGCCCGTCTTCTCCATGGAGTCCTTGCCATCAGTGTTGTCCGTCTTCTCCATGGAGCCCTTGCCATCAGCGTTGTCCTTCTCTGTCATGACCTTTGATGGGGATGATTTCATCTTCGTCAACTGCTTCTTGACCTTCTTGATGAGGTTGGGCTTCGAGTCATCTTTGGGTACCCTGAGTTGCTGTCAACAAAAAACCTTTTATTGGAAACCAGGTCAAGTAAAAATGGATCTAAAAAAAATGGAGAACCATAAAAGGGTAAATGTTGAACATTGACTCAGATTGGGAACGGAGATGGAATTGGACGGGGCGAGAGCTTCTCCTCGGAGGAGAGCTTCTCGTCCTCGGAGTCGGAATCCCCCAGCCTCAATGTCTTTCTTCCCGGCGATTGCTCTGCTGTGATGTCTCCGGACCCCACATCCATGGCCAAAAAAAAAAAAAACAGGTCAATCACGCGAATTGGATTTGATATAATCGGCTGCAATGAATGATCAAATCCAAGGTCAATCATCCAAGGATCAAATCCGCATCAACCCTCAATCACTGACAACCAGACCCTGATCCCTCCCGGACGGCCCCACAGCGGCCTTAAATAGAGGACTGTTTTCGATGAATCGGGCAGGTCCATCAAGAAAGAGGGCCAGCCTGGGCACGGGGATGGATTCAATTCGGCTAGTGACTTTTCAATCATGGCTCAAGTTTTAAAAAGTCATTCCACCAACTTGGCATGTCAATTCAAAACTCAACCAATCAGAATCAGATCACTGATGATCACTTTGAATGCCAATGCCAGAAAAACCATGCCACGTGGTATGCAATCAAGGAACGTTTCCTTCAGGAAGGAATCGGTGTATGAAGGCCTCTTCCCAATCCTGAGTTGTCATGACTCTGTGAATCATGCTCGGCATCAATGCGTCCATGACTGCATGAATTCTTATGATCAATGTCAAACCTCGGAATCATGCTCCGCAAAAAATGCATCAATAATCGGCATAATTTCTGATGACAAATGTCAAAACTCTGAACCATGCTCAGCATCAATGTCAAAACTTTGAATCAATGTCAAAACTTTAAACGAATACAATGCCCTGGCCCTGTCCCCGCCTCCTCACAGAATGGCACAAGTCCCGGCAGGTAGCTTTGATGTTTGGAAACAACGCTGTACCAAGGGATCCGCTCATTGCTGCCTAAGCTAGTTTCATTGGATGAAAGTCCCAAAAAACATCATGCACCGGTAAATCCGTGAAGGAAAAAAAACAGACTGTCAATGACAAGTTTTTTTTTACCACTGAATTGCAACCATCATCGCTCGAGCCAAGTAGCAAGTGCCAACTGCTCGTCCGGGGCTCCATCTGCCGTCAAGAACTCCACCCGGTCAATCATCAGCTTGTAGAACTTGGGGTAGCCAGTCCTGGGGTAGCCAAAACAAGTTCTGAAGACGTCAATATCATTGTTTGTTATATTCATCAAAGGATCCGTTTGATCTTGGAGAAAGGCATTGATCTTTGCGGTGAAGAGAACTCTTTCAGGATACATTCCGTCTGTTCCTTGATCTTCAACGCATGAACCTGCTTCATTGCAGCCAACCTTCCCACTCCAATCATTCCAAATTGGTGATGAAGATCATCATTGGCAGCCCCATAGCGAACGCTCAACCACCCGTTGCACCCATCCTGGAGGATAGAGATTGATTCGCAGTCAGACCTGAGCCGTCTCCAATGTGAATCCAAATGATTTGAACTGATCACTGATCATAATAATCACAATGAAAATCATTGTTGTTTGAATGTCAGTTCATCGTCTCATCAGATCCAGCTAATTCCTCCAATTTCAACCAGAAACAGGAAAGCGATGGTGAGCTTGCGTGCAGCTTCTCCCAAAGTTGCTTTCAACTTCCGCAGCTTGTGTCTGCCCTCGGATTCTTGAAAGTTGCCATCAACACTGGAAAACTAACAGGATGAATCAATAATAATGTTGAGCGAGGACCCAGAATCAACATAAATCAGGCCCAGGCACGAACACTCCATCTTCTCCCCCCTGGTTGCCCGAAGCGGTCTTCTGGAGAACTCGTCGGAAGAGAGCAGCTGATGGCACCTCAAGAACGGTGATCATGAATGAGTCCATCCATAATTAATAACAAGCAAATCATCACTGTCACTGGCACAGAATCACAAAGTTTGTTTGTGCTGTGTCTGGGTTGAAGTTGAAACAAACCCTCAAACCCTCAAACCCCAATGAAAAATCTCAGTTCCTAACAACTCGACCATTGACCACATCGGACTTGTCGCTAGAGCCCTTTGCCAAAGCCAGTTTGTGCATCTTAGTGTCCTCATGCTGTTGGAGATGCTGTCGTCCCACCAATGCCTAAGATCCAATTGGAACAAGCCCCCAGAAATCCTTGATAATCAGCGCAGAAATAACTGATTGTCAATTGAATTGGATGTCCATCAAAAAATGATAGCTGAGCTGAGTCCGCGGTGCATGGCGGCATGCCCTAAACCTAGACCATGTGGACTGCTTAGGGAACGCTTTGGAGCAGACATTGCAACCCAGACCCGTTTGCGATGCCTCAAGCCATCCAAAGTCCGACTTCCAATCACTCCAGTGGTTCCACAAGTGGCGGTTCCATTCCTTGGTAAGGGGCGGAGGTTGCGGAAGTTTCCCGAATGATTAACTCGAAAGTTTTTCTTTTCAAATCTCCATCAAATTAGATCGCCAAAAAAGAAGTATGTTCGCCCTATTGGGTTCAACATGGTTTAACTATTTTGTGACTAGCCACCGCCCACTCTTCTCCAGCGAGCACAGGCATGGCTCGCACGCACCATGGGCATCAAGAGATGAAGGTGCAGCACATGTCATGTGTTGACATTGCCACATAGATGGCAGAACTGTGACTCATAGTATCTCATAGTATTCATCCATACATTGTTGATGAGTGAAATGAATTCAGATGATTGAATTGTATTATATAAAAAATGCAGTATTCATGAGGGAAAACCATGGTCGGCAGCATTGAATTTGAAGGCAAAATGCCTCTTGAGAATCAAAAATCATTACCATGACATCATGATGACCATCCCCCTGCATCACCGTCACCATCCCTCATGATCACCATCGCCATGCCGCCATCACCATCCGACCAGGTTTCCCCACTGGATGGAGCAGCACCACAGCCACCACAGCCACCGCTGCCGCTGCTTTCGCGGCGGCTGGGAAATAATCAATAACTAACTATAATTAATAATCAGATTATACATATTTAAAGATACATGGGGATATGATGGGATACGTGAGGGTGGATAGCATGGGTCCCTCAAAAGATGAAGGTTGATACATGTGGTTGAAACCGAACTTCCTCTTTGTTGATGCTAGCATGGAAGGCTCAAAAATTGCATAATACTATTTGACTATCTTAACTGCAGGCCAGTATATATATAATATATAGAATATATAGCATATATAGAATATATAGAATATATACTGTATATGTGTGTTTATCAGCTGCTGTGGCCTCCACACTAAGTAATCAATCCAAGTGACCTGCTGGGATTTCCTTGGAAGGGTTGCAAAGACAGGTTTGAACTCCTCTTCAATCAGGTCCAACGCTTTCGAGGGCGGCAATGGCATCAAAGGACAAATATGAACAAATTGCCAAGTGTCAAATGTCAAGTCCAATGTAAATGAACAAGTGCCAATGGAAACTTGTGACTTCTGTTGAACATAAGATTAGAAGTGAACATGAGACATGAATCTCGCATAATCTTGCCAAGACTTGTGTTTGTGAACTGGAGCACACTAGGCCACAGAGTGCAGCAAACAACAAAGGAACATCAATGGCTGCCACCACAATCTATCTATATATATATAATTCTGCAAATGGCCACCACGATCAAAAACATGTTTATCCAATACTGTAGCCAATAGATTTTTTTTGGCTCCCAACTCTCAACTGTTGTTGCTGCTTTCCCTCAAGCAACCCAGCTCCAGGGCCCCAACGCTGGCATGGACCAAACCGGGTTTCCATAAGTGGACCTGAAAAAAGGAAAGCTGGAAAGCTGAAGATGTTGGAGCAAGCAATTGTCTTGACAAATCACAAAATTGCAGAACGCATTTCAAATTGCAGGTTGGCTAATGTAAGCCCCTTGTCAAGTGGCAAAGCAAAATGGAGCCAAGCAGAAAATCTGGCCTTGAAGTTCTTCATGGCCCAGACATGGCAAGAAACAATCCTGTCTGCAAATGATGTTGTGTTCTGTGCAGTTTTTAAGAGTATTTCAAAATAGTGGACAACATGTGCAACCAGTTCTTCAAATTGTCAACTGCCAGTTTTGAAAAATGAATGCAATGAGCAAGATGGCCAGGCACTGTCAATAAGACATTGCAAACAAATCACAAAGCACCCGAATAGCCTATTCCAAAACAATGCATTTTGGGGGTGATGTTTTTGGGAGGGGGTCCCATAAACAAAACCCTTTAAATGACTGTTACAGATATTAGGCTAGAATCAAAACATATCATACCGTTTTATATAAACATGTGCAGTGATGTCAATGATGTTGGATGTAAATGAATTCCGATTCTGATGCTGATTACTGTAACAAATCTGAGATCTAAACTAAACTTCCTGTGTACCCAATGTACCGTAATGTACTGTACATAATGCACCGACCGACCGTGCCCGGTAACCGACCCCACCAACGATGGACCATATCATTGCCAATGCCAATGCCAAAATGTTTCCGATACTACTAGATTGGAGACCTGACCTGTCAGTCATATCGAGTGAGTCAGTCATGTATCATACCATGCAGCCGGCGAGTCAGAGCGCAATTGTTGCGTAATAAAAGTTTGGTTCGGTATCAATTGCATCAAGATCATCACCGCAAATAATTCACATAATCAAGCCCCAAAAACCACCTCATTTACCGGAATCATTGTCATCATCATGGTCAGTATCTTGACCTATCATCACCATAGGCTTGGACCATAGTCCACAGTAGTCCACAGTACATAGTTTCAATGGATCGGAATGATTCCGAATGAGCCAGTGGAAGATGGACCTGTGCAGTGTGGCTGTCTACCATTAATCCAAGTGCAGTGAATTACATCTAAGTCTCAGCCGAAGTCCCTCTACACTCCAAGTCTAATCACGTCGAGTCATGTCTGCCTATCATATATTATATATTACTATATATATATATACATCGAATCATATATCATATCATACCGATACCGATACCAATCATATCATCATACTTTATCCAACCCCGTAACTCCGTCACAGATTTCCTTGAAGAGACTCGATGCTGCCAAGCAACTCCCGAACAAGTGCTGCTCGCTCCCTGGCAGCTTTGTTGGCCACGCGGTTCAAAATCAAAATTGATCCCGTGAACAGCAACACTGTAGCTTCGGATCGGCTTCAAGTTGGACTGGATCCCACGCAACTTGCTGACAGAGGAGGACTGCAGCAAACTCAACGTTGCAAACTCTGAGAAGAGGACGTCGAAGCAGCTCAGCGCTGCGTTCATTGCATCCTGCCCTCCACAAACTTCAGCGTGGACCTCCTTGGCCAGCATGGTAGACTTGATCTTTCCCACCTTTCGAGTGTTGATCCACTGCTCATACAACCCGCCAAGCCCCAACTAGTGTTCAAATCAAAGGTCAAAGTAGAACAGCTAAACTTTATGGCTAAACTGTGAATACCCGGAACGTAAAAAGTCATACATAAAATCATACATACGCGTTACATACTTACTTACATTCATTAACTGACATACCTTACCTGCCTTACCTCACATGAATTTTGCTTCCATGGACCATAGACAAGTTATTGACTGATCATTGATTATATATAGCAAAAGCAAAATTAAAAATTGTTTGGTCATAGTAGCCCAGAAACAACCATTCGAGCAACTTGGTGGAGCATGCAAGGATTGTAGTGAACTGAAACATTGATTCCGTATTGCTTGCCCTTCTTCTGCAACCATGAACAAAGCCTCCATGTGAGTTTTATGTTCGCGGAGGCGCTGTCTGCAATGATGAACACATTCAGTTGGGAGTAAGTTGCAGCCAGGCTTTGCAACCATGTCTCACACCCGAGCTTGTTAAACAAATGCCTCTCAAGAGATACAAACAAGCCAGCAGAAATCTGAGGAGCATTTGTTCGCTCCAATTGCACCGGTGGGAGGACAAAGCTCTCAAACTGTGAAGACCCATCCTTGTTCCAAGACACATGGCCAGTGCAAACAAGGTTGTGGATCACCTCATATTGCCTACAGGGTCTACCGGCTTTTTGTCGGTATCCAGGCGCCAATGGCCTTGGCAGCGTGGGAAATGACAAGGAAAACACTCTGAGACAAACGCAAATTTGACTGTGAAATTGATCT